TGCCAAAAACGTATCTATTCAAACAAAACAATTGTCGATGTGTTACATCTCAAAAATCAGAGGAAGATGATCAATGTTTCCATTGCCTCAAAACCAAACAGAAAGGTCAGAGATCACTGTCATGTAACGGGAAAGTTTAGAGGTGCTGCCCATAATTAGTGCAATCTAAAACTCCAAGTGGTATCCGATGAGACCGCTATTCCAGTCGTGTTTCACAATTTAGAAAACTATGACGCGCATCTGATTATGCAAAGCACTTGTGCTTTTGATCATGACGACGTTTCTTGTGTTCCTAAATACTCTGAAAGGTACATCAGCTTTTCTTTGGGTCAATTCAGGTTTATTGACTTGTTTCATTTTATGGCAACCTCACTCGACAAGCTAGTCAAAGCCTGTCCTCGAGATGCCTTTTCTTTACTCAAAAAAATGTTTTGCTGCATGCACGGAGCTTCTGCTACAAAAGGGCGTTTATCCCTACGAATGTATGGACTCGTTTGAAAAGTTTAACGAAACTCAGCTGCCAAACATCGACTAGTTTTAAAGTAGCCTCAAACGTGAGTCTATAAACAAACGACTATGCAAGAGCACAAAAGTATGTGTCAAGATTTAAACTGTAAAAACTTGGGTTACTATCACGACCTCTATGCGAAATGGACACTGTTACTCACGGGTGTCTTTGAAAACTTCTGCAGAGTGTGCCGAGCCAACTGCAGTTTACACCCAGCCAGCTACATGAACCTTACGCCCCAGTCTCTCTTGGGACACTCTCCTCAAACACAGTAAAGCGTCTTGGAGTTAAGCAAACAACTTGGATAAAATCGTACATCGAGAAAAAGACCAAGCTGCGCACAAAAGCTGACTCTTACTTTGAGAAAGACTTTTTAAAACTTGTGAACAACAGTGTGTTTGAGAAAACGATGGAAAATGTAAGAAAACGAGCTGACGCTAAACTCTTGAGAGACAACTACGTCAATAACAACAAAAGTTCAAAGTTTTAGTTTCAAAACTGAGTTATAAAATGGTTCTGTCTTTCAAAGAACGTGAGCTCTCTTACATTGAAATGTACAAAACAAAACAATGCTCAACAAACCCATCCACTGCGGGCTGAGCATCCTCAATCTCTCTAAAATGCTCATGTATGATTTTTATTACAATCGGTGCAAAAAACATTATGGTAAAAATATACATTTACTTTACACCGACACCTATTCTTTATTCATTGTGGTTTACACTCAAGACTTTTATTGGGACATAGGACAACACTTGAAACACGATGTGGATCTTTCAAACTCTTCAACCGATCACAAACTTTACGATCCTGAAAACCAAAAGGTCATCAGGAAATTTAAAGACTAGTTTGGTGGTAAAGTTGCTTCTGAGTATGTTTGCATACGACCTAAAATGTATTCCATGTTATCAGTTGATTATTTCAACCTTAAAACAGCAAAAGGTGTCACCAAAGTCGTTATGAGCAAACAACTGAAACACCAGGATTAGAAAGACTGCTTGTTTGAACGAAGACAAAAATATTACCAACAACTTTGAATTCGATCTGAAAAACATCTGCTTTATACCGTGGATCAAAAGAATCATTGTTGTGTCCTATAGATACCAAACGATATCTGTTAGATGACGGGGTAGATACTTTAGCCTATGGTCATTACAAAATTCAAGATAAAACTCAAGCTAAAACTCAAGCTCAAACTCAAGCTCAAACCAAAGCTCAAAACGTAGCTCAAACTGTAGCTGAGCCGGGCGGTAAACTCTGTGTCTTCGGGTACCACTTTGGGCCCCCCACCCGTAGTTAGGAGCAAGTAGTACAGATTTGATTGACGGAAGCTGCTGAAGACAAAAGTGTGATGCCATCAAACAAATGATATTTCTTGATTCATCTTATTGCCCGCTCTACATTTCTCATTCTTGCTACCTGTATCTCCTTTGTTTTTGACGCCTCACTTGCAGTGAATTTTCCTTTCTGTCCTAAAAGTGGGGGGGGGATGATCAATGACACTTGGTTAGAATTGAGTAAATCTTCAATGAGAAAACCCTTGTCTGCCTTAACATGGTCAAATGGTTCAAGTAATTCCAATATCCCTGACCTTACAGTAATATCCATGTCTGATATTGAACCTGTAAATAGTGAACTGGCAAATGACACGACACCACATGATGTGATACCTATGGCTTTTGTAATATGAATAGATTTCAGAATTCAGAACTTTTGAAGTTGGTGTTTGCACTTTAATTTCTGTACAATCCAAGATCACTCCACACTTGGCAAAAGTCAACTTAAAGCAATGTGGCATATTTTAGTCTGTAGTTTGTCAAAAAAGCCAAATCTCCAGGCTCCCAAGCATCACATACAAACAATTTGCCCAAGTCATCAGAAGCCTGCTAACTGAAGATTGCGACACACCAAATCTAAGCGCAAGGTCTTTTTCATGGAAGCCTTGCCTTAGTCTACAGAGATACATGAAAAAGTGGTCAATAAGTGGCAAGGATGTATCACGGAAAACTCCAATTCTAATATGGTCAGTATTTGTTGAATGCTTGCATTTTGTTGTCCATTTGATCATTGATAATGCTGTTGGCTGCATTGCTGTAAATACACATGTCAGCATCTCATAGTTTTTGAATCCAGTGTATAAAGCAATGGTTGAGGATCTGATGAAAACCTCTCAAGGAAGAAAGTTTTTCCCTTCAGTTCTTGCACCTGTTGCTGAAGTCTTTCAATTTCCAACTGGTCAGCTGCCAATTTGTCCTTTTGTGGCAGTGGGGAAGAGCTGTATGGTCAGCAGAGACCACCGGTGTCACTTGAATTTCAACAAAGTTTGCTGAATCTTCTTTGGAGGTACAAGGATCGGTTGAGGCTCCAGTCACGGTGGATCCTCTGTAATGTGTGAAGAGTACAGATAAGAGTCAGTCATAATGTGACAATGTTCATTGATACTGTTCTCTGTGTTGTTTAAGTTGCCCATGTTTAATACGTGAATGTCTGAATGTTGGAAGCTGAAAATGGACTAAAGTATGGGGCTGAGGTGAACCTGCTGAAAACCCCGCCGTATGAGAAAAACTGGGCTGACCAGGCTATACCACTGTCATGACTGTGACAAACTGATATGCTTCATATCTTCCCTTATTACCATACATCAAGTAGTAATTGGCCTCTTTTTATTCTTTATGCTGACATGTCTGATGTTACTTAATGGTTGAAAGAGAACAAATTAACTTTGAACCTAAGCAAGACTACATGCATCCCAATGTTCATGGAAACAAGACAGAAACTGTGTAACGTTGAGGTACCCAGAAGAATTGTTGGCAGTGAAGCACATGTACTTGAGACTGTTGAGTGTTTTAAATATTTAGGCATTTGGCTTGATTCAAGCCTAGACTGGACAGTCCATGTGGATAAATTGACCAGCAAAGTTTCTGCTAAAGTATCTCTACTGTATAGATTGCATTACTATTTAAATGATCAGAGTCTCCAGTTGTTATATAAAACTCTATAACTAGATAGCTTGCTAGATGCATGTAGCTAGCTAGCTTTTAGAGTGCACAGATCCAACAAGGTGCTAATACATTGAAACTAATAATAATAATAAGCCTTAAATGCCTCAAGGAAGAGATGACTTCTCAGATCCCTCTTAAACCGCTAGAGAGATGGGGATGATTGTAGCCCAGGTGGACTCCATGGCTGTACTACATGTATGTTATGGAGGGTGTCCAGGCTAGTGTTGAAAACAGGGCAAAAAATTTTGTGACTAAAATTTTCAACACTTCTACCTTTTTAAAGAAGTCACTTTCACGTCTGTAAATCATATGCATCCCTATTTCCACAGCTGGTGGACTAAGAAATTTGACACATCACCACCGCAGACAGATGCAGAAAACTAAACTCAGAAGTAACATGAATTCTTCTCATTGTTGTGGACTGTTTTCAGCTGTTCTCTGGGGCATGCAGTCTGTACAGTGTGCACGTGCAACTATTTGGCGTAGGAGATTCCAAGCTGCATACACGCAGGTAAAGCAAGCATGACGTGGTTCTCAGTCTGAAATGCACGCAACATCATGGGCGAGGCTGTGGCATGCTATTGGTGACGGTAAGCCTATGTAACTGCATGCAAGCTTACACTTAAGGGAAACTGAAATTTAGGATTTCTACAAATCCTGGCCATTTTTGCAACATCTACATTGCAAGCTTTTGTATAATGTGTTAACAGTTGGACATAAAAAAGACCGAGCAATGGTGTACATAAAATTTGATAAAACTCCTAGCACTTTCGAGCAAGGCTTTGGGGAATTTCTTTTGCTAGCAATGTACTCATATTTGTTGAGTTGTCCCATTTGAAAAGTGAAACTAAATAAATTTTTGATGGCCAGAGAACTTTCCTTTTTCTTCCTTTTTCAAAATGCTTAGGCACAAGTAAGTATTCTTAAAAAAAAAAAAAGACTGGTGTGACATGAGAGTCAATAACGGTAATTAACCATCATAATCTCTTGGTCCTTAATTTAAAAGTGAAAAATCACACACTTGTATTGTTTTCCAGATTCATCACTTTTTCTTAAATGCCACACTTTTAAGGGATCCACTGTCTGATAATCAGACAGAGTTCCAGCTTGACCACAAACTTCAACCTTCCCAAACAAGCCTATGACTTTTACATGTAATAGAAAGATGTTCTGATTCACTGAAAAACGTTGACAAAAATATCGGAAGACATTCTTGATTACTGAAGATTCCAAACATACTACACGTGAAAGTTTCCAGCTAATTAATGTGAAGCAAATTGAAGTAGGCCTCCATGAGGTTTATGGTTTTAAGAGAGTATCTCTGGCTCCTCTCTCCCCCCCACAAAAAAAATTGCCAAGGATCAACTTACTTAGACATTTTTACAAGTCAACATCGTCTGACTGTCTGCTGCTCTAAAATTCAACTTGTCACTACCAAAAAATACCAACTCAGTCTTGCTTTTAATGTTTTTTGATTACCAGTAAAAAAAGGCCGATCTCTCAACATCACAATTTGTGCATGATTGCTACTTACCACACATATGCTAGCACTCTGCATACCGTGTTCCTGATCTATAGCATTGCTCTTGCTGTGCATCATGATCTGCATACCCACAATGTAATCCTTTTTTTATGCCTCTTTATCAAGATAAGTTACTGTGTCATTTTAATAAAAATCAGATCCCTACAATATTGTGTACTTATACATCTTTAATTAATAAAAATCTATGAACAAATTAAACACTTCAAAGAGAGATTAATAAACTTATTCCTTTAGGGGTCTCAGTAAAGCAAGTGAGGCTGCTAGTAATCAGAAACTATAGGCTGATGCATGTACATATAGGTACACTTTTTAAAGTTTGCTTAGGATCCATGATGTAAGCCCAACACATCAATCATGACATCATTAGTGTTGTGCTCATCATTGTCTTTGCAACTGAAACACATTTCATGTTAGAAATGAGTCACCATCTCTGTCACTTGCCGTGCTTGTACAATACATGTATGCCACTTTGCAATAAATTCTGTTTTGCTGTAGAATCGTTTATATACAAACTACTTTGATGTTTTTAACTTTGCATAACAACCGATCTCAAAATGCTTCAAATTACCCTATTCCAACAGAGAATTACCCTTTTCCAACACAGACCAACTGAAAAACCCAGACTGGAAGATTCTGACGAGAACCTTGTTGGGTGAAGGTTTAACAATTCCTTGACAACAAGCCTCACTTAGTGTAACACCCAGGTGTGCATCCTGTCTCTCCCTTGGGTAAATGCTAAAATTGGTTTCTGCAATATGCAGTTACACAAATACAGTAACATCTCTTGTAAAACATATGAACAGGTCAAAGTGTCCCCTCTTGTTCAATCATTAAGTCCATAAGCTGAACAAACATTCACTTCCTTGCTTAAAAGTAATCTTATTTTGTTAATAGCAAAAAACATCCTTCATGTATCGTTGAACATTTTCCCATTCATAAATGTGACTTTTGTTAGCCCCACTGCCATTCATAATAGTGTACTTTTTGTTTATGATTGCAGTGTTTTTCATCTCCATGAGTTGAAATCTCAGTGCTACTACTTGTAGGATGTCGTCTGTAGTGCCTCTGTATCACATGGCATCAGCTGTTGTGGTCCGTACTCTGCTTGATCATAATGATCATCTCCATGAGTTGAAATCTCAGTGCTACTACTTGTAGGATGTCGTCTGTAGTGCCTCTACGTCACATGGCATCAGCTGTTGTGGTCCGTACTCTGCTTGATCATAATGAGCGTCATTCAGAAGAATGCAAGACCAAGGCCCAAGATCTGATCACAAAACTCAACATGAATTTGTACACAGCAGTCAGTAAGGATCTGCTGGAGCTCTTTGTTGATAGCTATCCTGGACGTCTTCCAGCCTTCCTTCTGCCTGTACTGGCTCCACCCCACTTGAAGGTGCTGAACCTCAAGCAGTGCTGTCTGATTGAGGAAGATTCACAGATGGAGTTCAGGTACCTGAAAAAGACTCTTCAAAGGTAATCCCTTGTCATTCTTAAGTCTTTGTATACATGTTGTACAATGTACATATATCTGAATAAATGTTTTGCTTGTACTTACCAGTACAATATTCTGAAATGGAAAGCTATATGTAGGTACTCTCATCCAGGGGTCAGTTGCTGGATTTCACTTGTGAGAGCTCCCTTTAGGATATTTTAGGGTTGCCAGTTTTCAAGCTAAAGCCGGATTTCACGCTTTCCATTTAAATTATTGGACTAATTTCAGGCCTCTACTTAGGCTATGGAAATTTTTGGGCTATGGAAAAGAATGTGGCTTCCATGGTATTTTACAATATCAGACTATTCCAGTTTCTCTCAGACTTCACTGAGAATCCTTGAATTCCACATGGTTGATTTTCTTCATGTTTCCACTTGCAACTGGTTCATCTGCAGTAGTTGCATACAAACTGCAGATGTACATGTATTTTGCAGTTTTATTGGCATAAATTGATACTTTTCTCTCAGCTGTAGCAGTCTTCAGGCGTTGATTCTGGACAGTTGTAACCTGGCACTACCCTTGTTGTTATGTGATGTCATCACCCAAAATGCTCCACAGCTGGTCTCTGTCTCTGTGGAAGAATGCCGTGGAGTTTCTAATGAATTTGTGCAGGTAAGAAAAAAAGTTGCATGTTCTCTCCAGTAATATCTGCTTTGAATATTAGGATGAAAGTCTGAGGTGGTTGAGGGGGATCACTTCAAACAAATTTTGTTTCTGATCAATATATCAACAGAAGTTCATTTTATATGACAGAAACTTTTGAGAGGACTCCCAAATCTGAGCCACTTAAACATATCCATCTGTCCAGAGGTCACCGACAACGTCTTTGCATTGACTGAGACACAGGGCCTACTTGAAGAGAGGACTGGAACACGAGATGCAGGTCAGATTATCTCCAATGTGTCTTTATCTGTGATTTTGCACAAAGAGAGAAATAAATGTGCACATGTAGAAAGCATGACAATGGATGCAAATAATGAATACATTAACCTGTCAATCCTTAAACCAGTATTTATGCAGATATACATGTATTTACTTTACCAGTAGCTCCCTGATACCATCTCCTGTAATTCTTAGTCTAGTCATATTGTGTTTTCAGTCTCTTCTCATTTCGAAAATGTGTTGGTCTCCTGCGTTCACATACCCCTGCCCAGCCTACATATGCAAATTTCCCATGCGCCTATTACAATTCGCTGAAAAGACTTGATTATGCATACTGCCCCTTGACCCTCCACAATGCACTGCGGTCCTGCCACCATGTTCGTCCTTCTTTTCTCAGGGCCTTTCGTTTACGGACGTGTCTTTATGGCATTTTCAGAGTTTTGAGTTCCGTAACCTTTTGCGTTTGTGAATTGACTTGATTCTTGAGTACGAATAAAGAGTGTTTTCTTATCTATCGGTAAGAGTGCTTATTTTTATATTTTGTATTTTTGTTGTTCTTTTCAGCCCCTTTTTCTATGCATTATCTACAGGTTTGGGTGTGACCTATCATTGGATTGTGCTGTGTATGGCCGTTGAACGGGGCTAGCAGACAGCCCTTTGTTCTCAATGTGGTGCATGCATTTGAACAATAACGGCCAAATGCTGTATGGGTCTGGTTCTGGAGTGGGACCTGGTGAGCTGCCCCGCTCCTTTGTGGTGCGGTTTGCATTATCGGAGATTAACGGCCGTGTCGGGGAAAGACCCAGTGGGATGAATGGGCCTGGGTTTAGTGAGCTTTGCTACAACACTACCCTTAATCACTGATGACTACTCCGTGTACATACCGGTCAGGCTTAGCTGACATCCACCCTGCATACTATAGATT